ATCCCTATTGCCCGACGCCCGGAACATGCAGTTTGGGGCGCCGGGCGAGTCGTTTTTTTGTACATTCAGCCCTGCTCCGGACAAGCAGAGCTAAATGTACAGTGGGAGCCGCTGCTCGTTTAATACAAGTGATCTAATCAGATCACTTGTATCAAATGGAGCGGCGGCGGCGATCGTGTCCGTGGCCCCCATGCCGTGGTTTTCGTGGTTCCCCGCTCCACTGGGGGACCCATTACCACGGCATAGGAGCTCACCATAGAGCCCGTAGAGCAGACGAAAAACGTCCGTTCTTCGTCTGCTCTGTGTGATCACTGAGACCGTGGCGCTGTAATCACAGTGCCACCTGTCTCAGTTGTCACTAACTGCAGCTGTCACAACCCTACCCTCCCTGCATCTTAAGGTCAGGTGCGCCTTATGGAGTGCAAAATACAGTATTTGTAGCTTTTGACCATGGCTACCCTTTGAGCAGTGAAGCTTGGTCTAGGACTTGTCCCAGCGCGTAAATGAACAATTCAGCCCCTCTCTTTCCTATGTGCTGCTGCATAAGGGGATTACAGGAGACTAATATCAAAACTGGTACTCATACCAGTTCTGTGGAAAAATACAATTAAACCTTTTTCATCAAAAGTTTTTATCACTTCAGTGATTCCAGCTGAGGTCGCTAGTACATAAACTGAGTGAAATAAACTACAGCAAAATAACTTTTTCTTAGTAGGGTGGAGACCAGTTAGAGTCCAATAGGGCCACAAACAACAATAAGAACTTATCAGAGGTTCCTTTCCATGTTAAAGCAGAACTACACCCTCCTATTCCTCACAGCTAAGGGAGGAGCCATCTTAGCCTCAACTTTGCAGCTGCCATGGTCCCTGTGTGTGTTGTAAAGTAGCCACCGCTCCAAGCTCACTCCTGTGATGGACTACAATCTCAATACAAATTAGTAAACTAAACATGAGATTGTAGTCCATCACAGGAGTGAGCTTGGAGCGGCCACCCTCCAGAAGGAAGGACAGTGTCAGCCCCAATTCAGAGATGATTTGAGGATCTACAGCTGAGTGATTCACAAATAAGATACATTTTTGGTAATAGCTAGGGTACTTGAATGCATTTTTTTAGATTTAACTCCTGAGTATAGGGTCACTTTAAGCCTAATATATATCTAATATGCTTTAGATAAGTGTTCCAAAGACTGTGCATTACATACTGAATTGCCCTGTCCAGTTTTGGGCCCAATCCTGAACAGTAACAAATGCAACCTTTAATATTACAGCTGCTATAATGTTTATATTAATATGACACGAGAGAAAAAGTATCACAGTGTCAAATTTCCCAAATTTTTTAATTCATACTTGAACATCTGTTGTAACGTTTCCCATGAAATAGACCGGTATACAAGCATCTTGGTGACTTTTGTATAAAACACATGTGCAGCTGCCCTGAGCTTTCTGATCCTTTCAGGATAAACCATTTGAGAAGCTGTTTTATAAACAACTCTTTGTAGTGGAAGTTGTAAAGGTGCCTTGTCTGACTGAGTAAACATGACTCTTTTCATGATTGTGGAGTCTATTCTATGTGTATTAACTTCTATGGGAGTTCTTTCATAAAATAAGGATGTCATGTTATTATTTACATTTTGTTAGTTTGCATCCTTCAGCCTGGCAACATAGCTAACAAGCCATGAAAATCATTTAGCTAGCAGCTCCTGCCTTGTGTGGAAGGCGCTGCATTGGCTTTCCAAAGAAAACCAACTGGTCCTCAGTACTCCAGGGTCAAGCAACATGTCTAGTAATTTCTCCCCTTGAAACCATTTCCATTTTTTTTTTTGTCAAAACTTAAATAGGTCTGTTTCATTAAAAATGTTGGATTGCATTGATGAATCTAAAGTCCAGTCATTATGTACTGTCTATAACCGGGTCTATGATTATATAAGAAAAGCTCTGGTTTTGGAGTATATTTCCATTACAACCCATACTGAGGACTTTTTCTGTAGCCTACAGTTCACCACACATATCACAATTTGATTGTACAATCTTCTTTAGATCTACCAGCAACTATCTAGTATAACTGCCTGTTTGGACACAAGTTGATTGGATAGATTAGCTAGGTCCTTGTTTTACATGGTTTTGGTAGACCTAAAGTTGGTTGTACAAAGATTGTATGGTCAGAGTGTAATATGTATGGTGACCCCAAGTCTACTGAATGTTTGCACATACAGGTAAAGGGTATGAACATGGCCATCAAATAGAAAATAGATCTATCTGTAAGCAGATCTTGATTTTGCCATGCCTGACCTTCCTGTAGAGTGAAAAAGACAATTTAGTAGAGGTGCACCGAAATGGAAATTTCAAAACCGAAACGACACCGAAATCCATCATTTTCTATTTAATTTTTTACTATTTTGTATTTTTAGTTTTTAAAATTTTATTTAATTTTATTTTTAAAATTTTTTTTACTGTTTAACCAGTTGACATCCGCGGTGTTAAACCCTCTTCCCATCCAGGCCATTTTTCAGTATTCAGCGCTGCGGTACTTTGACTGACATTTATTCCGTCATGCAGCGCTGTACTGAAATGAATTTTATACCCTTTTTTGGGGACAGATAGAGCTTTCTTTTGGTGGTATTTATTCACCACT